AAAATATAGTATACATATAATATAATACGTATATATATGTATCTATATATACATATATAATATATATATATTACATATTATATATATATATATATACGTAATACATATAATATATATATATATATAATATATATATATATATAATTAATATATATACATATATATATATATAATATATTAATATCTATATATATAATAATATAAATAATATATATATATAATATATATATAACATATATAATATATTATATATTATATATATATATAATTATATAATATAATATATAATATAATATATATATATATATATATATATATATATATATATATATATATATATATATATATATATATATACATTATAATATATAATGTATATAATATATATATAGTAATATATAATAGTATATTAATATAAAATATTTATATAGTATATAAAATATAAAAATATATATATATAGATAGTATATATAATGTAGTTATAATATAAATATTATAGTATAAATATAAATATATATATTATATAATTATAAATGTATATAATACTATTCTATATATATATTATATCTATATTATTCTAAGTTATATAATTACTAATACATATATATATATATATGATATATCATATAAGTATATCTTACTGATGGTGTATAGATTATATTATATTATATATAATATATATAATATATAAACTATAATAGAATAGTATAAATATAAATAAATATAATAATATATAGTAAATATATAATAATATTGTATTATATACTTGATAATAGTAGTAGGAATAACTATATAATAGGATAGATATATTTCATATAATAGTATTATTTATGTATAAGTAATATAATATGTAATAAACCATATAGAAGGTATATAAAATATATGGTAATATATATAGTACTATTAAATATATATATATATATATAGGATTAATACTAAATAAGATGATACATGTAATAAAATATATATTAAATTTATATAAGTATAATATTATATATTATTTTAAATATATATGTATATAATATCATATAAATCATAATATATATACAGGTATGGTAATATATAATCATATATATAACCTATCTGCTATATATATATTTAACGGGTATATATATATCAGTGTGTATACATATATATATATTAAATATATATTACTAATACCATAATATATATTATATATATACGTAATATATGGGTATGGTGTGTATATATAGTATATATTAGCATATTATAGTATGATATAGGTGTATATATAATATGATTAATAACAATATATATTATTATACTATCTAATATATATACTGTGGTGTGTGTGGGTGTGTGTGTGTGCTGTGGTGTGTGTGTGGGTGTGTGTGTGTGGTGTTATAAATATTATCATATATATATAATATTATGTTAGTAAGGTTGATATATATATGTATGTATTTTATATATGTATTTATATATATATGTATATTATATATAGGTTGATATATATATATGTATTAGTAACCATTATATAGTTTTAATAACTATGTATAATGTATACGTATATGTGTATATATATGTGTATATCACACACACAACACAACACCAATTGTGACACACACAAATGGATAGGTGCCACATCAGCAGGTAAGTAGTACTACACAACTCACCGCGCGTGTTGAAGCTACACACACAAACAGTCATCAGTTGCGCAGAGCGGAGAGGAGATCTATAGGCAGAGAATTCTGCATTATGGCAGAGTGCAGAGACTTAAGAGATCAGCAGTACGTAGACCAGTAGTCTCATGTTTGAAACATAATGTGAGGATAAAAGCGTCTGACGGGCCAAGGTGCTGTACTACACTCAAATTCCCATTGAGAGTACACTTGGAAGGGGGGCATAGGGACGATGACTCTAGGTGGACGGTGTACGGACTAAGTGGAGCACCACGACTCAGCGCCGAGTTAAGCTACCGACATTGCAGGCCTGAGATTAATACAGAGACAACACTCGGGACACCCTTCGAGTATTACGGTTGATCTGGATACTCACGGATCCATTTTGTTGAGCGGTGAGTTGAGAGAGCGCGAACTGAGGATGGATGGATGACGCATGGACTTTAGAAAGACGACCACACCCACACAGAGTGCAGACGCCGGACGACGCGTGCAGAAAGAAGCGTGGAGTGATCGACGAGGCGCGGATCTGTGTTAGTAAATAATTGATTGGCAG